ATATAACCAAGACATTAGATAATTGACATGATATTGGGAGACCATATCTCAAAACCCTAGGGTTGTGACTTCCTTGCTACGCGTATGGATCCTATGCTTTCAATAGTACTGGCCCATACAACCTTCCACACCTACCCATATTTGTCTCAAGTATCATCACAACGTCCTAACACTATCATCAACATAATATGAGCTCAACCCTCGCTCCTATGGCAATATCGACTATCTCGCAACTGGTCTCATAGCTTGCACATCCATGGAACTTTCACCAACCCTACAGTACTAGTGTATGCTAGCCACACATAATGCTGGACCCAATAGACTTTTGAATAGCAAATCCTACATTAAGGTCGAATCAGACATTCTTAGGCTATAAGATCTTGATTATACATAACCGTGATGCACACACTAAACATCTACAATTATGATGTCAAATCCATATACAAGAAACCCTAGGCTAGTAGGCATCATATAATCAGGCAAGTCTTATCATGCGAAACCTAAAGACGCCTAGCCTAGCACTAGCATGTTGTTCTATCATATCATAATATCAAATAACTATATGGTATTTTGGGGTTTACTTACAGGCTCCGGATGATCGTACCCTCTACATCCTCCATCCTTATTTTGAAAACCATTTCAGTATTTATTCCGAAAATTCCCTTGATTTGAGATTGGATTCAGACGAGTGTTCCTCCAATTCACCCAAACCAAGGCTCTGATACCAACTTGTAACATCGGAAAATTTTACGCCAAATTTAAACTTTTTAAATCATAAATAAAACCAATTAGTATTTGTTTACAAAATGATTTCAAATAATTATTCATCAGAGTGTTCCAAAAACTAGATCAAAAGGATGAGGAGCGGTACGGTCACGCCTTCCCCTTGCCATGATCTCTTGAAGTACCTGAAACAATAAACCGGAAACTGTAAGCCTGAGAGCTTAGTGAGCTACCCCCAAAATACCAATACCACTCTGATAATACCATATCAACAATAGACAATTAACAAAATGCATACTGGGCCATCGACCTGACTGGACCACCCAGCGGGGCCTACAGTCTAACTGAATCTGTCCCGAGCCTTCGGTATGACCGGACTGCTATTTGGGCCTTCAGTCTCCCCGAACCACTAATAGGGTATGTTGGCCTTCAGCACAAAGCAGAACCGCCTCAACCCAACCAACAAGCAAATAACCGAGTGCACAGAACTATCATATACTACATATACAAACATCAAACATATCTATCTCACTGATCATCGATCATATAAACCCCTAGTAACTAGAGTACCGACCTATTAGGTCACTAACATACCAATCCCTACGGATCATAAGAGCATCATCTATTGTCTATCCTGATTCCGATCTAACAGATCGTAACCACATGTAGCACATCATAACAATAACAACTTAAGGGCCAACCTTGGTGCTGTAGACCATATTGATATAGTGAGGACAATTCACCTTGCAGATGTTGACTCGGTTGATGAATTCAAACTCTTGGATCACTGTTAAAAGCTCAACCACCTATTACCATAATATAATTATACCCATAAATTCCTAACCTTACAAGGTACCCCAACAGTCAACTAATCAAATCCCTGGTCAAAAATCAAAGTCATCAATCAAGGTCAACACTCCATGTTGACCTTAACTCGCCGAGTACCCTCAAATAATCGTCGAGTTCCTTGAGGTACTTGTGTAACATCCGGATTTTACCAGGTATCTTGTAAATCTAATTTTGTCATATTGTGAGAGGGACTCGGCGAGTTGGAGCTCAGACTCGCCGAGTAGAGACGTGGAATTGAACATTGGTGCGCGCCTGGACTCGGCGAGTCTGCGCTGTGTAATGAAACCCTAAATCTCCGGGTTTGAGGCCTATTTAAAGGGCCTTATGGCCGTCATTTGTGCTCACCCAACCCTCAGTGAGTGACCCTTGTGTTCTTGACCTATTTGTGAAGAGAAAGGAGCCATTCTTGATCTTGTGTGTGTTATTTAGCAAGAAGAAGGAGACCCTAGGCAAGAGGAAGCAAAGGAGATTGCTATTTCGTGGATTTAGAGCTTAGATCATCACTCTAGAGGTATTATCTCGGACCATTTTCTGTTTAGTGAAGCATGATGCAATTTAGGGCTTGTGGTGGTCATTTATGGGATGATTTGATGCCCATTGGTTCCCTCTTTGAGTTGAGGCCATGGATCTGGATCCATAGAGGTCCAGAGAGCCTCACTCATCAAGCTTTATGAGTGACAATAGAGTCTTTGACCTTGTGTTGTAGTATTTGAGTCATAAACATCATATATGGTCATATAGAGGTTGTATGTGCATCAAGATTGTAACTTTACGTGCTAAATGAGCTTGGAGGGACTGGATCTATGGATTAATGAACTGGATCTGACCTTTAGAGCAAGATTGAGTCAGTGCATGGCATGGACTCGCCGAGTCCGAAGAACAGACTCGGCGAGTAGCATGAATGTTGCCCGACCACACTGTGAGTGGCCTCGCCGAGTTGGGAAAGGTGGACTCAGTGAGTCAAGGGGGAGTCAGAATGGACAGGTGGACTGAGTCTAACTGGACTCGCCGAGTTGTTCTTGAGACTCGGCGAGTTGAGTCGTGGTGGCCCCACAACTCGTGCCAGATGGAACTCGTCGAGTTGAGGGAATGCTCGACGTGTCAAGGGAGGATTCCAGGGAAATTGGTGTACACGCCCAGACTCGCCGAGTCGCCTGGGTACCCCGCCGAGTCCGGTCAAAGTTGATCGTTGACCAGCGTTGACCTAGATTGACTTGTTATAGTGTGGTCAACCCTAGTTGGGAAAGTGTTAATTAGAGGTGTATTGTGCTATAGGGGGGACGACAGCTCGACAGGTCGAGTGATTAGCGATTTCAGGTTTACGATTTACCGAGACACGCGAGGTGAGTCTTCTCACTATACTTTACCTTGAGTAGGTAACCAGAGTTATGTGATAGAGTATTTGTATGCTATGTATGTTATGTGTTGTACTGCATTACTTCTATGTGTTTGATGTTGTGCATGTTTACAGAGTTAGAACCGGAAGGTTCACAGAGTTAGAACCTGAGGGTTCACAGAGTTTGGGTGCACGGACCCACAGAGTTATAGCCTTGAGTGGCTAATATGTGTTATATGTAGTATTTTGGGGAACTCACTAAGCCTTGTGCTTACAGTGTTGATGTTATTGTTTCAGGTACTAGTGACGACCGCGGGAAGGCGTCGGCTTGATCCGTACACACACACATTCGGAGCTTGATATCATGATCTTGGGATTTTGTATTGTCTTGTTTGGATAATTAAAATGGTTGTTTAATGAATATCAATGGAATTATGTTTTATAAAAATTGAAAAATTTGTTTTTGAAAATTTTCGGTGTTACAACTTGTCCACTCACCGACTCACAGAATGACTCGTCGAGTTTTGAGGGTCAACACAAAGTTAGTGAGAGTTACAGGTTTTCTGCTAATAGCAGTAACACTTTTAAAAAGTCTAAAATTTTTTATCTTTGTATGAATAACAATAATTGAAACAGTGTTTTCCAGGAGTCTTTAAAAGCCAAAATGTATCTTTGTATAAGTAAATGCATACTTAAAAACCATATCTCTAAAGAATCTTTGAATATACTTGAAAAACAAACTATATTGATACAAAAGTAATTCCATACTTGAAAAACAAACTATACATATGTATCTCGCTCCGAAGATTAACGGTTATAATAGTGTGGGTATGCTAAGTGTTAAAACTCAACTAATGAATAACGTCTCCCTAAAAATCCCTTAACTAAAAAGTTTGTTAATAGTTCTCAACCCTAACTTAATTGTGATTAACTCACTAGGCATAATGAATATAGTTGTATAAAGTTAATAAAAGTCGAGTATGTTTGACATGTGTAAAAGTGTAATGTGCTCTCTTTTATAAAAATGAATGTTTCAAATTAATGAACATATGCACATGTATACATGTTCTGTACTTCAAAATATATACGAACATGCATAGTAATAGTTTGAATTCTTGAAATACTATAAAATTATATAACATGCTTGATATAATATACAATGTCACATAAAAATCTTATGTTTTATATCATGTAGTACTTGTTGTGTGAACTAGTTATTTCACGATAAAATAACCATAATACGTGTACGAAAAATTTATATTAGTTTATCAGTAACAATATGCTAAATTGTTGATTAATAATATCTTTATAAGTAGATTTACCGTGTTTTCGCATAAAAACGAAATTATTTTGCGTAAACAAAATATTTTGGCACATATATTCACCCCCCCCCCTTCCACACGCGTGAAACGATTAAAATATTAAAAGGAGACGTAAGCACTCACCCTTGAAGCGTGAGTTCCGATCATTCAAATTCGATTTTTTTGAGATCCTTGACGTAAGAAACCGTAATTCCACAATTCTTGAACTTTGAAATACTTTTGGGACCATTTTGTAACAAGTTTGAACTATTAGGGATTGATTTATAACTTCGCTATAGTATAGGGTTGTTTGGTAATTTAATTAACCAAGTGAGACTGATTTGGTAAAAATAATTTCAAAGGAGGGGCTAAAATGGTTATTTATATTCAAAGTTTGAAGATTGAGACTTATTTTGTTAAAAATAACCAAATGAGGGGCTGTTTGTGGATAAATGGAATCAGTTTTTGGGGATTTGGAGCTATTTTGAATAAATTAAAGAATTTAATAGTGGGGCATTTTAGTCATTTCATAATAAAAATGCCTTAGGGTTTTACATCCCGTGTTTAATGGTTCACTTAAAAAGAATTAGGGCATTACCCCGTTTCCTTTGTTCTGATCGGGGAACTAAAGCAAAGGGGATACGAATCGTCCAAGGAAGCCACGAGGGAAACAGATGAACGGGAGAAACACGAAGGGAATCAAGCATTTTCCATCGGTCGATGACCGATCGTGAAGAAGGTAGAGCGCGTCGGCAGGCGAGAAGGAGACATGAAGATGTCTGCGAGGTCCAATGGATTTCGATCGGTTTCAGGTTGAGGTTGCGTTTCCGGTGTTCGGTCAAACCGAAGGAAGAGACGAGACGAAAGCAGAGGGCTCTCTCTCTTTCCCTTCCGGCTACTCGATGCAAGCAAAGATAAGGTCCGAGGAGACGGAGGTCGATTGGTCCGAGGAGGCGTCGCGAGCAGCGACGTCAGTGAAGATGATACCTTCGGAGGTCGTCGGTTGCAAGGAACATAAGAGATAGTCTAAGTGTGGGGCTATGGTGGTCGGAACTCTCATTAGCAGCGGCGGTGGAGGTGAGTGAATGGGGCTCCTCCGGCAGCTCCATGTTCTTCTTCTTCTTATTATTTTTTTTTATTCTTTTTATAGAAATTGATTTGGGTTTCTGGGATGGTCTCGATTGCAGGAAAGAAAATAGATCATCAATATGATCTCGGGGTGTTTGTTTGTTTTAACAGTAATCTATGGAATGAATAAAATGGTTGGTTGGTTGTTGATGGAAAAGGGTGTTTGGCTGTTTGTTGTCTACGCAAAGGGTAGAAGAAGACCATAACGAATCGTTTTTTTTTTTTTTTAATGATTGGTTGTTTCTGTTTATAGGGAAAGAGAACGAAGCAAGGAAAATAAATGTGATGTTCCTCATGTTTGCAGGAATACAAAAGAAGAAGAACAAAATGGTTCTTCGCTGGGAATAAAGATGTAGTCCGAAAATAAAATGTTGTAGGTGTTTGGGTATTAGATTGTTATCACTGTGCATGTTTGAGTGTTAATCTTTCTTTTCCTTGACTTGTTTCCTTGAATGCTCACTAGATGGGAAGGACAAACTTAAGAAGTGTTTTCTAGTGGTTTGGTTTTGTTTATGATGTAACTTGGAAGAAAATATGGCTGTCTTTATTTATTTATTTGTATTTATTTATTTTTTTAATTATTTGTATTTGGTTAGGGATGTGAATGGAGCGGGTTTGGGGCGGGGTTGGCCATCTCTGTCCCCATCCCCGAGTGTCTGACCTTGTCCCCATCCCCATCCCCATCCCTGATGGATGAGGGGAATCAAATCCCCTCCCCTTTGTATTTTGGGTTTTTCCCCAACCCATCCCTAATCTATCAACATAATAAGCTTAACTTAAAAAAAACAAGTTTAATAAATGATCACAACCATATATCATAATTAGATTTTGTTTACATCAATCATAAGCATCAAAACGAAAAGTGACAATTTGGTATATAGACTCTATCTCTGATCATCTAATATAGATCAATTCATTTTAGTGGTCTTAATTCAAATTCAATAAATGATAGATATACTAATATATATATAATATATATATATATATATATATATATATATATATATATATATCATGAAAGCGAGGGCGGGGCGGGTTGGGGATTGTTATACCCGGCCCCATCCCCGATTTTAGCATAATGGGGATCCCCAGCCCTGTACCCGGTACCCGTTTTGGCGGGGAATATTGGTCCCTGATTGGGGCGGGTTAACCGGGTTCCCCACTAGATCGGGTGAAATTTTCATCCCTATATTTGGTAGATTAAATAGATGTATTGTGTATGAATTTATATTATGTATTTGTTTCAATATGTATGAAATGTGTGTATTGATTAAATTAAGTATGTATTTGTATATAAATTTATTGATTGTTATGTATTTCTAATAGATTTAATGTATATTCTTTTTTTTGTTTAATAATATTGTATGTATACACAATATTTATGCACTCTCCAAATAAGGGTTTAATATGTATTTGTGTGAAATATACGAAGGATTTGAGATTTGTACAAAATCAGTGTCCAATTTGTTGTATATTTTAGGAATTGTTGTATGGAAAATGATATATGACATATAAATATTTATATATATATTTAGTGTTGTTATAAAAAAATTATATAACATATATGCATTGTGATTACGCGATTGATTATTTGTTCTATACAATATGAGTTTATAAAAATTTTAACAAATGCAAAATAGATTTTTGAAAAATACGTTCTCCACATATATATATATATATATATATATATATATATATATATATATATATATATATATATATATATATGTGTGTGTGTGTATGTAGATTTATATAATTTTAAAATTTTTGGGTTATCTCTTCATTAAGATTCATCATAACTACACTGGATAACAATATATTATTTCTAGAATATATTGTCAATAATTGAAATCATGTCGAAATCAATAGTTTAATGTTTCACGATTAATAAATTTTAAAACGTCTGATTTTTTACTTTTTAGAAATATTTTTAATAAAAATATTTCAAATATGAAATTTAATATTAGGCTATAGCCTGAGTCCAAAAATGTTTTCAGAATTCCCCTTTGAAATGTGCAAGTCCCTTAATGGTTAGAAATATATTTAGTGGTTTTAAGAAAATCAGTATATTCTGGTTTTGCTTTCCTAAAACGGTCATATCTTTTACATACGAACTCCATTTTGGACGTTTTTTTTTATATATATTTTTGGAATCAGGGAAACACATACTATAAGACTAGAGTGTTTCTATTGCTCACAACTGCTTAACACAAAATTTCAGTTTTTCAGACGCATTCCTATGGTTGCAGTTTGAGCTGTTTGATTTATTTGTCAGATCACGGGGGTGTTTGACTTGTCTTTTTTAAAGGCAAAAGTTCGTTTTGGAAAAGTTACCAAAAGTCAGGTTTTCCTAACTTTTCCAAAAAGTTAGTTTTTCTTCTATTTAATATCTAAAAGTAGCTTTTCAAATGTTTCTACCAAACATCTTTTACCTTTTATCTTTTCCAAAAAGGACTTTTGTCTACCAAATCTTAGAGGCAAAGACCACCGCCCTTAATTCCAGGTAATTCGCCTCAGGAGGCTACTTCCTCAAGGCGTAAGCTATCACATGTCCCCTCTGCATTAGTACCGCACCTAACCCAGAAATCGACACATCACAGTACACCACCAAATCATCTAACCCCTCGGGTAGTAGAATCAGAGCCTCACATAACCTTTGTCTCAGGGTCTCAAAAGCCAACTGCTAATCCGTGCCCCACCGAAATGTCACATTCTTCTTGGTCAAGTGAGTCAAAGGCACAAAAATCTTGGAGAAATCCTGAATGAATCTCCCATAATAATCCGCTAGACCCAAGAAGCTACGGATCTCAGAAGCATTTTTTGGTACTTCCCACCGTATCACTGCCTCAACCATGGCTGGATCAACCGAAATGCCCTCCTGGTTAATGATGTGCCACAAAAAATTGTACCTCCTGCAGCCATAAATCACACTTGGAGAACATTGCATACCACCTCTCCACCCTCAGGGTCTCCAATACCTCTCTCAAATGTTGCCCGTGTTTTCCTTGGTCTTAGAATAGACCAGGATATCATCAATAAAAATGATTATTGACTGATCCAGCATCGGTCTACATACCCTGTTCATGAGATCCTTGAACGTTGTTGGGGCATTGGTGAGCCCAAATGTCATCACCACAAACTCATAGTTGCCATACTGAGTCCTGAAAGCTGTCTTTGATATATCTTCATCCCGATTCCTCATCTGATGGTATCCCGACCGAAGATCAATCTTGGAAAACCATGATGCACCCTGCAACTGATCAAACAAATCATCGATCCTTGGTAAGGAATAATGGTTCTTCACCGTTAGTTTGTTCAGCTCACGATAAACAATGCACATTCTGTGTGATCCATCCTTCTTTTTCACTAATACGATCAGATTAGGATAAACCCTCGGTCTAGCAGCTCCTAAAGCTACATAGATAACTCCTGTATCTCGGGAGGTGGTACCCGGTACGGTGCCTAAGCTATCGGAGCGGCACCCAACACCAAATCAATGCGAAACTCTACCTGCCTCTCTAGTCTCTCGGTAACTCCTTAAGAAAGACGTCCCGAAACTCCTGTACAACCGGTACACTACCCACATCTGTCATGGTCTCAACTCTTGTATTTGAGATATAAGCCAGAAATCACGTACATACCTGCTGCAAAAACCATCTAACCTTCGCAGCTGAACAAAGGGTTAGCCCTTGCAAGGCCCTCTCACCATGAATAACCAGTTATCCCCCACTTGGGGTTCGAACCCTTACCAACTAGTGCTCACAATCGATTATGGCCCCACTGGCCCCCAACCAGTCTATCTTGACAATCACCCTTCAGTCCTTGCAATAGTATCTGGACTAGATCAACCCGAAAACCCTCTCCAAGCACATTCAGGACACAACCCCGATACACCCTCCCAACACTCATAATTCGGTCATTTCCAATCTCTACCTTGAGCGGGAAATCCAAATTTCCTGGCGCATCCCGAAACTTCTTGCTAAGCGCAAGAGACACAAACGATCGGGTAGCTTCTGAATCGAACAAAACATGAGTTGACATACCATGCATTGACCAAAATGGTCCCTATACATAAGCCCACTATACACATAATCAATGCAAATAAACATAGAGCGGAGAAGAATAAACACGTACCAGCCACAACATTTGGTGCTGCCCGAGCCTCCTCGGTAGTCAAATGAAATGAGCGACTTTTCACCGCTGGAGCATCCACCTTAATAGGGTGGCCATCAGTAATCCTCATTGTAGTGGGCACAAGCGCCACCACTACTCCTTCCCCTCCCTGAAACCTCGAACAATCGTCCCTCTTATGGCTGGTTTGGTTGCAGTGAAAACAAATCAAGCCCTTCTTGGGGCAATCCTTGCTTAAGTGACCCTGCTGGCCACATGTGTAGCATCCCGAGCCTACTATCCAACAAGCTCCAATGTGCGGCTTACCGCACTTAGCACACCGGCCCCTGCCCTGCTGGCCCCTACTGGAAGAACCCGAGGTCTTAGGCTTTTTAGCCTGACCTACTGTTATCTGTGCCTGCTCAGGCTTCCAGTTGGTGTGGAAGTCCAACTCCATCTCCTACTCATGGGCCTTCTCCACCATCTTGTTCAGGGTTTTGCACCCTGTGAAGTTCACAAACTCCTGGATATCATCCCTCAACATGGAATGATACCTCGTCCACCTCATATCCTCATCAACAGCATACAGTGGGATCAACAATACCCATTCCCAAAACTTGGCGGTGATCTCCGCCACATTCTCGGTGGTCTACTGGAGCTCCTGGAACTCTCTCACCATCCTCTGCACTTCAATAACTAGTGCAAACTCAAGATAAAATCACCTAACAAACTCGGCCCATGTCATCTCAGCCATACTGGCTGCTCCCACCTGGCTAGTAACCTTGCCCCACCAGTCTCATGCTCTGTCTCTCAGCATACAACAAGCAAAACTCACCTTTCCGCATCCAGGAAAGAACCCGTGCGCTAGGCCTTCTCAATATCCGCCACCCAACATCGGCTGAAAATGGGGTCCTTGGCCCTGAAAAACTTTGGCACCCTGCACACCTTGAACTCCCAGAGTGAGGGAGTTCGGGCCCTAACCTGGCCCGCAACAATCTTGGCTCTGAATGCCCTGATCCTCTCCTCCATAATCTGCATCATACCCTCCTTGACCGTCCCAAAGATAACTAAGGTAGCGTCAAGGATGCCCCACGTAACCTTGGCCGGGATAAGCTCACGCAACCTCTCATCAATGGTCTCGATAGTGTCACCTGACCAGCCCCGAGTCCAGATCCCGATCCTAATCCCCCTGTTCCAAATCGTGCCACCACCATGCTGAAATGAAATGTCATAAATTGTAGCATCT